CTCTCTCTCTCTCTCTCTCTCTCTCTCTCTCGCTTTCTGCGCGGGTCACGTGACGTCTCACGCTCGCAGGCGGGAAGATCAACTCGCAGACGACAATAACAGGGAAGGAATCTCGCCTGAGATTCGACGCAAGTTATAATTATAGAACCATGGCATGATGTGTGATGTACAGCATGAAATGATGTAAATAAATAAATATGTATGTATAAGTATGTATAAAAATTTAAATAAATAAATAAATAAACCAACAAATAAATAATTGAATAAATAAATAAATGAACTAAATAAATAAATAAATAAATATCAGCTTAGAAATAAAATTTCATATGCAGAATCTTTTCTTCGGACCCCTTTTTAATATGACAATCAATAACGTAATATATGTCAAAGGTTTCAGGTAAATGAGACTTGATATTTTTGGAAAGAGTGTCTAGAATTGTAAAGCTCCTTTCAATTGAAATATGTTGACGTCAAGTTGAATATCCATACGTAGACAGGTTATACACTGGCTGCATTCATCTGTGCTTGCACGAGTGTATGTTTTTAGGCGTGTGCGCACGCGAACGACAAGTTTATTTGCTGAGGATAACCTTTAATGATTGTCAGCATAGTAGTAATATAGCTGCAGGTTTCATTACTCCGCAAACACAATGGTCACGTATCGCAAACTTCGCAAATCTTTACTCCTGCTCCGGCAATTCTACGTCTTTGATCATCAGCGCGTTAACGCAATACACGGACCGTGCGGAATTATACTATATATCAAGAATAATAGCTGCTAACAGCTCGTTGAACGCACGATATATATATATATATATATATATATATATATATATATATACTCACTCCTATTGATTATGCATGAATGATAAATGCAAATGTAAATTATTACTATACACGCCGTGAAGCTAAATAAACATATGACATCACGCTAAGCTGTTGACGTATTTTAGTACGTACGGGGATGTTTTCCGAAATGTAAGAATTTTTGTAGAATGTCATCAAACAGTACGACCTAGTTGAGACCGGTTAGAGAAGCGAGCGTGGTTATCAAGAGTACATAAAGAGATGTCAATTATTAGTTCTTGGTGTTATCTATGTCGACGAATGGTTTATTAATTTAAACTCGGTGTCCCCGCTGCGTCTGGCAGACTCTCTGACTAGTACAAGCCGCACAACTGTATTATCAGCAGAACGGCAGCGAATATTCGTTCGTTTCAGTTGTACACCATTACACGGGCGTTCGCACAATGCGCCGTGAGTTATTGAGGGTTATACCGCTGTGAAGGAGGTCTCACGGACGTGCCAGTGCAGTTCTGACAGGCAGGCCGCCTCGGAGAAATGCCAACTTTCTTGGCCTTTACAGTCGAAAATTCTTTTCACGCCATTTAATAATTTATGAGTATTTCGGTCGCGCGTGAGCTAACGCGTAAGCATAATGCATGGGCAGCGATTAAAGTGTACTAATCTATGTACACAAAATAAAAATGTATGTGTGCGTGTGTTTCAGCTTTTGTTCGTACTTGCCTAACGATCCCACTGATCTCTATAATATAATCGATAATAGATTATATTATAGAGATCAGTGAACGATCCGCCGAGACATCGTCTGTTTCACTATCGTGGCGCCATCTCTCGGCGATGTTAATGTACAATCGTTACAACTCTATTACGTACTCTTCACATCTGTAGTGCGATTGAACTGCGACTATACTATCGTTCGATAATACATGCGAAATTCGCTGTTGCCAGTGAAATGAAAAATGAGCAGTTTATTATAAAGTTCAACTACTGAACACCAGTAAATCAAACATGACCTTGACAAGAACATCACATGAATAATGCTCCTAGTGGGATCATATCGGGACAGCGTGGTATTTAAAAAAATTAATTATGCGTTAGAAAACGAAGGCATGCAATATATATGACTATAACATACGATATAAACCTGATTCATTCATAATATCTAGATGATAATGCAGTACACTGCAAATGTGAGTTGATAGGAAATATGGCCTTTGTAGTTTGTACGTATTGGTAGCACATTTATGTAACGACTACTCCGTCAAATTACGGTTCAAGCAAATCAAGACAAATAACTACTTTTATAATAATATACTTCCTGCCTAAAAACGTAGGAAATGGATGATACATACTTTGTCAATAGTTTCGCTTGCTACACTTGAAAGATCTCGAACGAAATCTTTTTAAATACGGTTTAAGGAAACGCGACACTTCCGCCCCACAACGTGCCTCAGAATCAGACGTAAAACCCAGAGAGGTGCATCGACGTAAGCTCTACTCACCGCAACCTGCAAACGACAAAATAAGAAAGGACGCGCATGCCGATCACTGATCCCACTTCCTGTACTCCATGCCGTCTGGTGGCTTGACGTCGATCTTCTTCGTTCCGACCTCGCCCCAGTTTGTGCTGAGCACCGTGCCGCCGGACTCCACGAACGATTTGTTCATCGCTTTCTTCACCTCCTCGCTGCCCTCGCCGTAGATCTGCTGAAACAGCTGGTTGAGCGCCGCCTCCCCTTCCTCCTTCGTATCCTTCTCCTTGCGATCCATGTCCCGCGCAACCTTGTCCCAGTCCCTCCCCGACGCGGACGGGTAACGATGCGCGGCGGCGGGGTCGTTGTCGTCGCCGTGGCGACTCTCCGCCGGCTTGAACTGTTTCGCGTCCGTGTCGTCGCGCGCAGCTTCCAGCGCCTCCCAGCGAAGCCCTTCCAGCCTCTTCATCTTTAGCTCGACCTTCGTCGCCATCACCCTGAAGGTCGACTGCTCCGGGACGACGTCGTGGGCCAGCGCGAGGACGAGGTCAACCTCGGCGACAGCAGCTTCCGCGTCCTCCGCCTCCTCCGCAGGAAACTCGGCTCCCATCATCGCGCGACACTTCTCCAGCCAGGCGTTGACGACGTCGTCGGCGCCGTCGTCGTGGCGACGCGCCCGCAGCAGCGCATGCGCGGCGTCCGCGTATCTATTGAGGTGGAAGCATGCGACGCCGCGGCGGAGGTGAGCGCGCGCGCTGGCCGGCTCGAGCCTGACGGCGATGTCGGCATCCCGCAGCGCGTCGGGGTAGTTGGAGAACTGGATGTACGCGTGCGCGCGGCACGTGTAGTAGTCTGCACAGCTGCTGTCGTCGTCGATGGCTCTGCAAGCAAGCGATCAGCGTGAGATTCACGTAAGCTACCTACGCCCCTGCCAGTCCTGTCATCTCAAACTTGGCGTGAGCTACCTAATGTGCTTCTCCTGACTAGGGGGCTATCTAATAAGCTCAAAAAACCTATTTGGAGTCAGTCATAAAAAATCACCTACTATCCCTACAAACGCCCCCGCCGGTCATGTCATCTCAAATACTACACTACACACTTCACTATAGAAAAAATAATAGTAGAATATGTAAATATTATATACTCTATTTAATGATTAATCGACCACACTGATACTGCATAGCCGTTAGGCGTTACACTGTCACTGATCAATGTGTTGTGATGGGGGCAGTGGGGCATCGATCAATGTGTTGTGATGGGGGCAGTGGGGCATCGATCAATGTGTTGTGATGGGGGCAGTGGGGCATCGATCAATGTGTTGTGATGGGGGCAGTGGGGCATCGACCAATGTGTTGTGATGGGAGCAGTGGGGCATCGATCAATGTGTTGTGATGGGGGCAGTGGGGCATCGATTAATGTGTTGTGAGATGCGTCTAAACAGAGGAATTGCTCCGACTTGTGATTGGCGGATAAAAGTAGACACCGCCCACTCCCGCCGCATACGCTATTATGCTATGACCGGTAGGAACGTGTACTAACTATCATATGGAGCGAACGATTTAAGTTACATTTCTATTAATTCTATAAATTCTAGCTATTATAGACACATGTCTTAGCCTTAATCTCTTTGAATTTTGAGTCTATTGAAGCACAATTAGTCTAATTAATTAGCAAATATGCACGCGCGGTATCGCTCATAGGCTAATACACGCGCGACTATGACCGGTGAAACAAAACGACAGGAATTCTTTTTTTATCCTCCAACCACAGGTCGGCGCAATTCCTCTGTTTAGAGGCATGTGTGTTGTGATGCACTGATGGGGGCAGTGGGGCCACAGGCACACACACACACACAGCATAAAATATGCTAAATAAATACGAAATCTATTTACTACCAAAGTTTTAATGTTTCTCTACTCTCTTTCACCTATTATTGCCGACAATTTCCTGCAAATGCCGTCCAAATGCTCATCTGCAACAAACACTGGCTGCCGCCATGGCTGCCGCTGCACACTAACACATAAAAATATAGATTATGTGTCTACTCTATATATTCACGAAGTGGTTATATGCCCGGCAGCCGGGCACGGTCTTCGATTTCCTAAATGCCCGGCAGTTTTTAATTTTCGGTGATTTCTCAAGTAAACAGTGTAGTACATGATCCAAAGTATTCTACATTTGTTTAGAAATGTCAAGCAATTTTCATTAGAGCTGTATATTCGAACTAGCCCAATTCTCCTAGCTTCGGATCACTATGCGAACGAACTCGCAATCGACACTTAGAAAATATCCGACAGCTGCCGGGCACGGTCTTCGATTTCCTAAATGGCCGGCAGTTTTTAATTTTCGGTGATTTCTCAAGTAAACAGGAGGGTAAAGCCGGGCGCACACGTGGCGATTTTGTTGCCAGCAACAAAATCGCCGAGAAATCGCCACATGTGTGCTGCACAGCGATGGCGATTTTGACGCCAGAAACTCGTCGCTGGAATATCAAACACGTTTGATATTTGTTGCCAAGTCCCTGAACAATCACTACGTGTGCGCTGCACTGGCGACGGATTCAGGCAACAGTTTTTGGATTAACCAATCAAATACATGATTTGAAGCACGTGATCAAATATGGCAGCGCCCACGTTCGTTTTCCACATGCTAAACGTTCGTTTGGTGCAATGGATTTCCGCATCACTGTGTTCTTCTTGCTTATCCTTGCCCCTACCAGTGTCAGAATTGCATTGATATGTTCTTTTTTTATTCTAAAATAACGCTGGTATGCCACTGAATCTTCAAGCTCCAGTTCTCTTACTAAATTATTAAAAACACCATGCGAATCACATCGCAGCACCCACGTACGTGCCCATGTACGTCTCTCTCTCGCTGCTGTCTGTCGACGACGCTGACACATAATTATTAAATATATTCCAATAACTTGAAGAACGACTATCGTGGTGTCAATGGGCACTTCCATTGTGAACAGGTCACGTACAGTTCATATAGTGATATGTTGCTGACAGATGAATCGCCACGTGTGCACCCGGCTTTAGCGTTAGGGTTATGGTTAGGGTTAGGGTTAGCCCGTTAGGGTGCCGGCTGCCAGGCATATAGCCACAGCGATATATTTATGTGTCAGTCAGTGTGCAGCGGCAGCCAGTGTTTGTTGCAGATGAGCATTTGGACAACATTTGCAGGAAATTGTCGGCAATAATAGGTGAAAGAGAGTAGAGAAACATTAAGACTTTGGTAGTAAATAGATTTCTTATTTATTTAGCATTATATTTTATTGAAACGCTCCAAGTGTCTGTAACTGTAACTGTAAGTGGGGAATCTGTTAAAAATTATCCCAAATTAAAAGATGAGATTGCACTATATTATAACCTAGTACCTGGAATAGAGATCGGTTGCTTGTTTGTAGTTTTCAGCAACAAACGCTTCGTTTCCCTTCGTGAAATTGCTGTTTAAATGGGCCATGTCTTTTATTGTGATAACAATCTGGAAGTTTCCACAGTACACACTAATTTCGCGTTATGGACGGCGCCATACTTGCGCGGTGAGACATAGCCAACCGATAATTTATTAAGGTAAGTTGAGGAGGTTACCAGGTAAAAATTTCCTTTTCTAGAGAATATTATTAGGTGCATTTAAAGATAACCGCGGAGTAGTAAAAAAACATGTTCATGTTGAAATAATGGTTGTATGCGCCAACCAAGCTTTGAAGTAGAGGCAGCACTGTTTATGATGGTACCCTGCAATACAGCGTCATTACGTTTAGGTAGACAATACATTAACGAGTCCGGGTGACTAGGGTATTTGAGGGTGCGCTGGTGCAGGAGCCATTCATATACGGAAACTAATGTTCATCTTCTTGTTTTGTTCTCACTCTTCATGTGGTTTTCGTTATTTAGTCTAATCTTGTCAAGAAGGACAGATGTACCCAGCTTAAGCAGGTAGATTCGGTACCTATATTTCAAACGAAACGGTACTGCTTTTTGTCATGACAATGCGCAAAACGGACAAAACCAAGGTGCTTTAAATTCGCACAGGTTCGCATCCGACTTTGCTCTAAATCAGCAATTTTATCTACATAATAATACGGCGTAGTCGGTGACCGGATGTATTGTGGCCTGATTCAACACAGTGAGCGTTATTTACGTGGCAGTCGTTGTTTTTGCACGTCCTCATGGTATATCAAGCCAATGACGCATTTAATTATTTGTTTGACATTTGATTTTGGCATTTTTACATGATAAAGAAATCAAACACTGAAACAGAGAAACGTACTTGTTTTGCACACAGGCACTTGGAACGTCTCAATAAAAAAAATGTAAACACGAAATGTATTTACTACCAAAGTCTTAATGTTTCTCTACTCTATTTCGCCTATTATTGTCGATAATTACCCGTAAATGCCGGTCAAATGCTCATCTGCAACACACAAGTACACTGCATGCCCGCCCTGTGCACAAACAACATGAATAAGAGAGCAGGTAGGAAAGCGTGATCGCAAAATTTGCTCGACGCTTGCTTCATTTCACACGACTACCGAACAGAAACAACAAACAGCCTCCATCTTGGTATCGATCTGTAGCTAAATGTTCACTTGTTCGAATTATAACTCTGTCCTTTGTTGTTACCTACTCCCGCCAGAGATATCTCGTGAAATCTTGCAGGAAATGTTCTCTCCGTGAAAATGTAGAGGACGAGATGTCTGTTTATACACGAGTAATGGGGCGCATTGCATGCCGGGATGAGCTGGTGCTGGCCTCCGAGCTCCGTTTCGAGGCCCGCCAAGCCAAGCATAATGTGCACTGGCATGACGTCACACACACACGACAGGGGCGGATCCAGAGGGGGGGTCGAGGGGGTCCGGACCCCCCCTCTTTTTACCACAAAAAAGGAAAAAAAACATACACACACACGCACGCACGCGCGCACACACACACACTTCTCTTATATTCTCCATAAAAAAATCTTGTTTAGCGCTAGTTTTTCTGATAAAGATTTACTTATATATATGTAGATTTCATTATAATAACCTAGAAATGGGCAAAGAGGGGTCCGCAGGCGTCCGGATCTGATAAATTTGTGCATTCTAGACATCAAAATTACTGCTCAGATGCTCTCAGAATGCACCAATTTTTTTAAACGCCAGAAAAAGTAAGCAGGAAAAAGTGCCCTTTATTTCTTCTTGGACACCCCCTTTTCAAAAATCCTGGATCCGCCCCTGCACGACTACAGCGATCGATCAAAAGTAGCGCCGTTAGGGACTTTCGGATGATACGTCCTCTTTACATTTTCACGGAGAGAACATTTCCTGCAGGATTTCACGAGATATCTCTGGCGGGAGTAGGTAAGAACAAAGGACATAGTACTAGCATGGTAGCTACAGATAGATACCAAGATGGAGGCTGTTTGTTGTGTTTCTGTTCTGTAGTCGTGTGAAATGAAGCGAGTGTCTTGTGTGTTGCAGATGAACATTTGACCGGCATTTACGGGTAATTATCGGCAATAATAGGCGAAATAGAGTAGAGAAACATTAAGACTTTGGTAGTAAAATATACATTTCATGTTTATTTACCATTATTTTTTTTAATTGAGACATTCCAAGTGCCTGTGGTTTTGCAGTTTGTGATGTTTACATTGAAAATGCATTGGTTGATCATACAGCGGCTTTGTAGTATAACCATACGAACCCATATCAAGAAATGACAACGGCATGATGCGAAAATGACTGCAAACGAAAAACGAATGCATTCGATCTAAAATATAAAATGCTGTTATCTCTCATTTCTATAAAATCCTGCAAATCTAGTTTGACGCTCGCTAATTTATTTGCGATGCAAGTTGAGCTGTTTACTACGTTTTCGCATCGCGCGATGTCATCCTCATCTCTGACTAACTGCCGTCGTCGTCATCTACACACGCATTTCGCTCTTTCAGGTCTACATGTGTCGGCAGGACGTGAAGTGAACCGACCCACCTCTCTCTCTCCACACCCACGCACGCACGCTCCCTAGCTCGCCATGTCGAAGCGAAACAAGTACGGCTTGACGCTGCCGTGTGTCGACGGCTCGAGCAGCCCAGCAGCCAACAACGGCATCAACGTGGACGCCCTCGCCCGCAAGGTCGCTGACATGGACATCAGCGAGTGCGAGCGCAAGCGCATGGACCAGTTCTTCCTCCAGAAGAAGCAGGTTGGCGACCTGAAGGCGGACGACCTTGAAGGTCTCGGGGAGCTTGGTGCGGGGAACGGTGGCGTGGTGACTCGCGTCCGCCACAAGCGCACGGGTCTCATCATGGCCCGCAAGCTCATCCACCTCGAGGTGAAGCCGGCGATCCGCAACCAGATCTTCCGCGAGCTGAAGGTGCTTCACGAGTGCAACTCTCCGCACATCGTCGGCTTCTACGCGGCCTTCTACAGCGACGGCGAAATCAGCATCTGCATGGAGTACATGGACGGCGGCTCGCTCGACCTCGTGCTGAAGAAAGCCGGGCGGATCCCCGAGCCGATCCTCGGGAAGGTGACGGTGGCGGTGCTGAAGGGTCTCACGTACCTCCGCGAGAAACACCAGATCATGCACCGCGACGTGAAGCCCAGCAACGTGCTCGTCAACTCCCGCGGCGAGATCAAGATCTGCGACTTCGGCGTCAGCGGTCAGCTCATCGACTCGATGGCCAACTCGTTTGTCGGCACGCGGTCGTACATGTCGCCCGAGCGGCTGCAGGGAACCCACTACTCCGTGCAGTCCGACATCTGGAGCATCGGTCTCGCGCTCGTCGAGATGGCCATCGGCCGCTACCCGATCCCGCCGCCCGACCCCAAGGACATGCGCAAGATGTTCGGCGATCGCGTGAAGATGGAGGTGGCGCCGGCGGCGGCGCAGCAGTCGAAGCGTCCCCTCAGCAGCATGGGCGGCAGCTTCAACATGCCCGTGAACGAGGGACCGCGGCCGATGGCCATCTTCGAGCTTCTCGACTACATCGTCAACGAGCCGCCGCCGATGCTGCCGGGCGGCGTGTTCTCCTCCGAGTTCGAGGACTTTGTCAACAAGTGCTTGAGGAAGGATCCGAAGGAGCGGTCCGACCTGAAGACGCTCATCTCGCACCACTTCATCGAGAAGTCGGAGGCTGAGGACGTGGACCTCGCCGGCTGGGTGTGTAAGACGATGGGCCTCAAGCAGCAGATGCGTACGAGTCACCCGACCAACTGAGGCCGCCGCCGCCGCCGCGAGCGCCCTAGCCTTCCCCCGGACGCACCGCGCCGTTACGATACCGTACACCTCCGTTATTCTGATAATGTACGTCCGTAGGTATGAAGGAGGCTTCGTTCGTGCACGCGCGTCCGTCTCTGTTACGTTGGGAGGTGCGCGGCGACGGAAACTTGCGAGAGCGACAGTCGTGCTAATTTCTCTCTCCGATTTCCTTCTATTTACGATCGGAGTTTTTTCCACTTTCCTCTATTCTTCGACTTCTGTGTATCTGTCAGTAGCATGACCCGTATGTGCGCCAACTCTCGCTATATAGTAGGCTTCAAGCTGATGGAGGCGCCAACTATGTCACGAACGATGGTTTCCGTGTGTGTGCATCCTGATCACTGTCACCCTTCGGATGTGACACAGTTGTGGGCGAAATTAATGTCGGTATAATTATTTATAATAAGTTAATTTTATTTTCATAACACACTAATATTTTGATCGGCAGTTACTATTACCATCAGCAGTCAGTAAGCATTGCATCGCTTTCATTTAAGTGCAGTTGCTTGGCATGTTTCAGCTCAAATATATTCTGAAGATGTAAAATTATGACGAATCGTAAGTTGTCACTGAAATGAATAGTGAAGAAGAGAGGATGCTAAATGAAACATAACTATGTGTAAATGAATAAAACTCGGTAGTCTGTACAGAATTTCAGCTCCTGTGTGCATATGCTACAAGAACAGTTCAGTTGTCTTCCTTAATAAGCAGAATAAACTGGCATACAGGACATGTTGTTTTGTGCAACTTGTTTTATGCGCATTATTTAAATGCCGCTTAGAATGCTGGCATGAAAAGGGCAAAGGTATGACAACATAAAAATATTGTAACGTGCTGCTACTAGTAAATATATGCATAGCGCTTGTATGCACTTGTAATTTATATCTCATATTCAGAAAAGTTTGTGTGTTGACTGTAGTGGGGTCCACCCTACTTGCAGAAACACACCCATACACTGACTGTGCTGCCACCTGGCAGGCACTCACCTCGTACTTTGGACATTGTTATGCATAGTGCAACAAGAGCAACAGTTCCTACTCACCCAGAGAAAATGTGATTGTCGTATTTAAGAGAGACTTCACCCGCATCCCGGTGATACGCGCCCCGGTTCATCCCCGCATCCCGGTTCATGCCACTTGTTGCCAACAAACGTAAGATAACATAGTGGCGAACTTGGCTGACAGTGCAGCGGTTACTAGCAGTCAATACGCAGCAGACCGACACACGGGGGCGACAGATGACAGACTGCATTTGTTTAGCAGTTGAGACTTCAGACCTGCCGTGATGGTGGAGCTTCGGCAGACGACGGCTTGCGTCACTATTCGGTCGTCGCTCGCGGTTTTGAGAACTTGCGTTGTTCAACTCGTGTGCATTCGTTGTTCCGTGCGTACGTCGTGCTTTGCCCTGTAGCCGCAGCAGACCATTATCTTATCATTACATCGAACAAGAGTTACCATCTTATGCGTGCGCCGTAGAGTCGTGCTGCCATAATCCTTGTTTGGCATTACTTTATCCGGTGATAGGTTGGTAAAGGCACGAGTGCAGAAGCAACAGTGCCACCGAAGTGTGTATAACAATCTGGTGGCGTGCACATGTAGCTTTACTGAGTACTATTGTCTCCTCAGTAGCGCATGTGTAAGATGGCGCTTCTCTCGTCGTCCGAGGCATTGTTGACTAAATGCAGCCATCTATTGATGATCTGTTCTAGTAAGAGTACCTAGTATTGCCAAGTGGAGTCACCGATAATAGAAAGCACGCACACGTGTATGCAGCTCCTATACGCACGCACGCACGTACCCACCTATATGCGTGCAACACGCATAGACACACTTGCGCCGCACGCACGTACACACACTTGCACAACATGCATGCATGAACGCATGCACGCATGTACGCACACTTGCACGCATGCGCCGCATAATCTGCTGAAATGCTAACGGCTGCAATGTAACTACAACAGCCAACATGAAAGATTGTCTGCAAGCGAGACAGTTGTTTGTATATTTACCATCGTTATAGTGATCTTATAATAGAGTTAATTTACAGTGTTATTTAATGTCATTATTATTGCCGTTTACAAGATACAAATATGTTATGTATAAAAACTTTAAGAAATTATATTCTTTCATGGCAATTGTAATCAACTGACTGTGTAAATTCACTTCAATGACTATTAAAAATAAACTTATAGTGTCTACAAAACCAAAAACAATCGATGGCCTGTTTCATGTCCTACACGCTGAACAAAACCTCACCACAACATTTCACATTGTTTTACTTACAGTATTGATTTATTAGTTACGTTATTACAACTGGCGATTATACCTAACCGGTAGTGATCGTTATGTAAACGTCTGCATTTCGCATGCCTGTCTACGCGAGCATGAATATTGTTAACAGTTCAACGCAGAGTCACGGAACAAGGCTGGGAGAAGGAAGAAGTTCAACGCAGAGTCACGGACCAAGGCTGGGAGAAGGAAGACAAGCTGCAGCAACATTTCACGACCGCAGTGATTTGGCTTCCTCTCCACACGAGCACCTCCTCCCCCTCCCCACAAGCTCCCAACGTAACACGCCCCGCGGTCGACGCCGCTCCTTGATCGCGAGACCGCACGCGTCACGTTCTCATTCGACGACGGCGCGCGTCGGGTCTCCCCTCAGCGTTCGGCCCCCCCTCGCACAACAGCGGGTCGTTACTCTATCTCGATGGAGCCGCCGACTGCCTTCAGCTGCTCAGCTAGCTTCTCCGCCTCGTCCTTGCCGATGTCCGCTCGCACGACCTGCGGCGCAGACTCCACAAACTTCTTTGCCTGCAGCGAGAAAGAAGCTAAAACTGTCAGCGGATGCCTATAGCAGAGACTATTCGAATTTACGAACTGAGAGACGTTAGAATTTACGAACTGACCTCTCCGTGTGAGAGACGTTTATCTTACACCAGTTGTACTTCTTACACAGACTCATTGGATTATACGTTATTAGTGATCGGACAACAACCCGACCAAACGAGACATAATTAGCACAAGCGGTAAAAGAAAACACTCTAGATTATGCGATATATGAATTCTCTTACCTGCACAAGGTTCATGCCTTCCATCACCGTTTTCAATTGCTTTATTAGCGCTACTTTTTTCGCGTCGTCGAATTTGGTCAGTTTCACGGTAAACGACGTCTTTTCCTTTGTTTTCTCAGGCATATCATCTTCTTCCTCCTGAAGTTATTAAAAAGGTAAATAAAGCAATCATGAGAGCATTTTACTTTTAATTTAGTTTTTATTACACTCTTCTTTGAACTGAATAATGCTTTATACACACACATGTATATATATATATATATATATATATATGATACTTGTGATTTCTACACTAAATCATAATGTATCTACAGCAACATTCATTTACACATACATGATCTTACTAGAAGGAACCATCAAACAAAGGTTAACAATCTGCTTACTGGATCCAATTAAATATTAGTATCGTCAACAGCTTCGATGCTACAGCATTGTGTAATAAGATGTGGTCGGCCTCAATATGAGAATATTTACCTTTGCTGGTGCTGCAGCCACCGCTCCCATCGCCATCACTGCAGCATCTTTAATGTTCAGCGTTTTCTGTGTGCAATGAATTAAAAAAAGAAGGTAAGAGTAATTAAAAACTTCAAGCCTCTTCAAAATATTATTCAAAGCGAAGAATAACAGATCTTTAAGGTGGGGTAAGGTAAGGTAAGGTTAATTTACGGACACAAGCCAGACCTCCAAATACAGATCATAGCTAGCAATCTATTAGTATTAGTACTTGTAATGATCCGCTTTGTGCATATAATATATTGTGTGTGTGTATGTGTGAGTGATCGTGGCCCGTGTGTATAGTGTATATACCATGCGATGTACTAACCCAAAGGTCCTGCTTGGCGCGGGCACCCTTGTGAGGTACCCTGAGGTAATCACAAAGTAGACAGACACGAAATGTACATACAACAATATATCTATTTAATTCTTACACAAACTTACAGAGACAAGTTATTAGTTACATATTTAATGCAAGATCTCTAAAAGGAGTTTACACACGCAAATACATTTACTAGTCTTAAAAGGAGTTTTAAGGCATACGTTTAAGACGCATATTATCACACGAATACGGTAAGATGTAAACTATAACACATATACGAGAACTGTCAAAGCGCTGACCAAGCGCTTTAATACTACATACTCACGGATCTGTACCCTGGACGATTCTGCAGTTTCTATCCAAAACCCGCGGTACTTATACAATTCTGGCCGTGTCACGTGGTTTTTAGTAGTGCTACGCGTTTTTAGTGTAGGTTAATGATGTCTAGACCAGTGGTCATCTTGACCACTGTCTACATTCTCTAGAAGGAGTGTTTCTTTGTACCATGCAGTTCTACGTCCCTTGCTTGGACTAATGATCATCGTTAATCATGTTCTTTACGATTCCAGCTGGGCGACACGGTCTTAGTTAGAAAGGGGTTTGCCTATCTGTGTAATCTAGCCTTGACGTAGACGTGGCCAAAGAACCGTGCCTGTCCTGCGGCGTTGCTCTATATCGTAACTGACTTTAGCTTCATTACATACTCCCCAAAAGTTTCACTGGTAATGGATGATGGAAGAGTTACATGATCAGACTAGAATTCGCAATGCCTTGTGCGCATGTCATGTGGCTTCATGTGCTCAATAATTTTTGGCTGTGTCTCCTCGACATGTAACCTGTCACCAGTGTTCTGTGGCTAAATGACCGGTTAACAGGATGGACCAATCAACAGGGAGCTTCCCTCGCACGCAGCAGCACACAAGTCGCGTGATGCTGCCAAGAAATTTTTTTATCAGAAAACTATCAACAAATTTTTTGTTATGCTATTAATTAGTGTGTACCAGTAATAAGACTAGTTTAAACAGTATATTTAGTGGCAGTTATAATGATTTTAGTAGCCTCCCTTCCCTTCCTTCCGCGAGACGTGTCCGGTCGAGGAGCCACGTACAGCAATATTTTTTTGCACACGTTAATGGCGTGTCACTTTCCCCCGGGCGTAGATGGAGGGTGCCGCAACGTGGCAGCACTAGCCCTAACCCTAACCTTAACCTGTGCCCTAATCCTGACCCTAATCCTAACACAAGTGCAGCCACATCACGTGACCCTCCATCTACGCCCGGGGGAAAGTTATTCCGACGTTAAGGAGGGCTTTATCATGGTTACCTTCAAACATTCGTTGAGATCTGCGACTTCTAGCAATGTTAGCTTGGAAATGTCTTGCACAATCTTGTTTATGTGTGGTGCGTATTCTCGCTCTTCCCCTTCTATTGCCGGGGAAGGCAGAGCAGAAGAGTAGGACCTGTTCTGATGCCTCTGGCTCTGACAAGGCACCGTTAACACGCTGCAAGTTATACTTGGCACTCTGAAAGGTTGCAAAACTAAATTTAGTCACGACGACAAACACAGACACCTTTTCCCCCTTGTCACTAACGTGAGTTTACAGGTGTGACACTAGCAGTACGCAGCGGCATGGTGAAGATCGTGTGTCATGGCAGCGCCCTTCAACATGATGGTAAAGCATGGAACTACAAGTGTTTGGCGAATTTACGTTATATGCGCATAAATAACTATCGTGATGTAGATTTCCGCAATCTTACCTATATAGTACTAGGCTTAGTCGGCAAGTTGCTGTAAGCGTCCTCACTGTGGTTTGCATTTTGCTAAAATTAGAACAACAGTTCTGTTTTAATACAAACAGTATCTTCTCGACTCACTGCGCCGCAGCAATCGAAATGACCCTGCTGTGATTGGCTTATATCTGAAGAAGAGAGCAATGAGGTTGATTGGCCAGGTTCTATATCACGCCCGTGTTGCTGAGAACATATATATACAAGAGACCACAGGCACTTGGAGCGTTTCAATAAAATACGAAATAAGGCCTAAATAAATACGAAATCAATTTACTACCAAAGTCTGTTTCTCTACTCTCTTTCACCTATTATATCGGCCAAACCTACGCACAAGGGGTAGAGTGGGTACGTCGGTATAGGGCTATGCCCGGGAAAGATGCCCATGGTAAAATCCGCCCTAGAAATTTCTTAATCATATAAAATACATACTACAGGCCCGTAGCCAGCTTTATATTGGGGGGGGGGGGTTCGTTTTCAATGTTGGCAATTTGCTCGGCAGGGGCGTGTACAGGATTTGTATCAAGGGGGGTCTAACCGTAACCCCAAGTTGCGAGCACGCGAAGCCCCTCCCCCAGAATTTTTTTTAAATTAGACCCCTTTATATGCGTTTTCTGCGCGAGCAAGGGGGGGTCCAGACTCCCTGGACCCCCCCTGTACACGCCCCTGCTTGGGCGCGAAGCGACCAGGCGAGGGAGCCAAGCGACCGAGCGGGGGGAGGGTGTGGGAGGGGGTGTTCACTGTTCACCCTCCCGCACGATGGAGATTTTGCAATTACTACACTAAAATGGAGCGCTAAATGCAAGCTAAAATTTATTGCAAATTTTCAAAAAAATTTTGTTTTGTTTGGGGGGTTTGGGGGAGGGTTCGTTCGAACCCCCCGAACCCCCCCCCCCCTGGCTACGGGCCCAGGGGGTAGATTCATCAAGCTGCGTACGCAAAATATTTTGCGTAAATCTTGTGTACGCAATCGACGTTGCTTAGTTGCGATTCATCAGCACAGCTATTTAGTAAATTTGCTTACGATTTCGCGTACGCAAGCGAGGCCGTTTTAGGTGCGATTCATCAAGCTAAAATTTACGTAAACCTTTGCGTAACTTTTCACGAGCTGACGAGATGCCGTAAACCACTCGAAATTTCCGCAGGTGTTTCCAGCATACCGCAGCATACCTTATTATATTGAGAAAACATTATAAAATTACTACTCAACTAGAAATAAATAAATAATTACCGTACTACACAGACAGGCGGCGCCTTTTACGCTTCTTTTGTCATAGCTTGGCATTGTTTTCGTTATAAGCGAGTTCGTAGTTAGCCGTGTACGTGCACACGTACGCACGTGTACGTGCACACGCACGCACTTGTACGTGCACACGCACACACGCACGCATGTGTACGTGCGTGTCGCACGCCCGTGCACGTACACACGCACGCATGTGTACGTGCACACGCACGTGCACATGCACGCACGCACGCACGCACGCACGTGTACGTACACACGCACGCACGTGTACGTGACACGAACGCACACACGCACACACGCACGTGTACGTGCACACGCACGCACGCACACGTGCACAATCACGTACGCACGTGTATACGTGCACACGCACGGACGCCCGTGTACGTACACACGCACGCACGCACGTGTACGTGCACACGCATGAACGCACGTGTACGTGCACACACGCAAGTGTACGTGCACACACACGCACGCACGCACACGGGCACATGAACGCACGCACGCACGTGTACGTGCACACGCACGCACGCACGCACGTGTACGTACACACGCACGCACGGACGTGTACGTGTCGCTGCTTTCATGAGTGTTGAACGCAATCATACAAACGAAAATGTGGACACTATCACATCCCCCAGCACTCCTGTAGACAGCTAGAGCCATATGGTTTACATACAAGAGAGGCGTCAGTTTGGTTCCTATGGTATGTGTCGCACAGTGTGATTGGTTTATGCTAGGCACGTCCCTCAACAGCCAGCAACTACGATGGCGTAGTGGATTTACACCGGAATTCATCAACATTTGCGTACGCAGGTGCTACGCTGCGTTGATGAATCGCACCTACGAGCTTTGCGTACGTACTTCGTAGAAACTCGGTGTACGCAATACACTTTACGCAACGTTGCTGAATCCGGCCCCTGCATACTATATATACTAGAAATCTATATTGGAATATTAAGATAAGGTGAAAAGCAGGGGTAAAGAAGTTAAATGAGGGGGGAGAACAAAGGGGAATAATAGACAGATGGGGTTATATGAGCTGGATAGAATCAGGATGTAATATGTTGAAATAGACAAAGGGAGTGAAGCGAAATAGTGCTACCGCTACGTGTCCAGTTATCCAAATTTTCCTGTAGTCTTTGATTTCGCATGCCTATTATGTCCCGGAAATGTATTATTCTGTTTATATATATTAAATTTCATATGAGCACTTATTGCTGTGTGGGTTTATATGTCAAATGTCCATCGCCGTGACTCCATTTATGGGGTAGAGCGCCCTATACTTATTATGTATTATATATTATAGTCTTCCGTTATTTCTTACGCGGTGGCTTGATATGGAGGCATATGCCTCTGTGCGTGCATGTGCGATTTTGCCAAGGTAATTGTTGTTTTATTTCATCAACATATATATTTATAATAAAGAGCATGAGGTAATAATATCAAGTATAAGAATTAATATGCAAGATGTGGGGAAGAAGGAGAAGGCGAAAAGGAAGAGGAAGACACGGAAAAAGACAGGATTAAAAAGAGGCTGAAAGAGGAAGCAGAAGGAATGGGAGGAGGAAGCGGGAACCTGATAGCGTTATATAGGAGACAGATGGGATGTGATAGCAGGGGTAGACAGAGGGAGTGAAGAGAAATTCTTCGACCGCTAGGTGTCGAGTTATCTGAGTCCCAGCTGCAGCAGGATATCAACGACTAGAACAGGTGGACGTTGTGGTTCGATAACAGCTTATTTATTTATTTATTCAGCCGCAGCGGGATATTTACATACAGCAGCAGCAATATGCGGATCATTAAGCAATGCAGGAACAGTCTCTCTCTCTCTCTCTCTCTCTCTCTCTCTCTCTCTCTCTCTCTCTCTTGCTCTCGCTCTCTCCTACACACACACCCACACATACACACACACACACTCTCTCTCTCTCTCTCTCTCTCTCCTTACTGCCACCCAAAGCTTCTCAGTACAAATGCGTGCACCTAAAAGTAACTGTTTCTCAATACGGCAAAAATATATCGGCATGCCCGCACGCACGCACGCACGCACGCACGCACGCACGCGTCAAAGCATAGGTTTACACAAACAGTAAAACGTGCGCACACACATAAAAACGAACGAACGCACGCACGCACGCAGGCACGCACGCGTCAAACACCACAAAGCATGAGTTTACACAAACACTAAAACGTGCGTACACACACATAATGAAAGTGTCAATGACACTGTAGCTCACCTTGGGTGTGATAGAAGGAGGGAGGATAAAGCAAGAGTATATATGGGAGAACTCCCATTATATAGCATATCTCCCATTATATACTCTTGATAATGATATATGCATAAGTTTTGATGCGAAAATAAATGTTTCAGATCTAAGTCTGAAATCTTGACGAGAGATGGCGCTACACCTAAATGATCGCCATTTTGGTTTTCGAATATCGCGCAAATAAAAACAATAAAATGTTCCAGTCAAATTACTGTAACGAAGAATCTAAAACACAATATTACACGTATATAAATATGATTGTAAAGTTGTTGACCAGTTAGACGAAATAAACGTAATAGGACGTTGTCATCTCTCCCATAGGAGTAACAACTATGCAATAAAAAAACAAACCCGTGTGATGTGTTTTGGGGCCAGTTCTCATTCATTCAAATCCCAGAAATGAGCAAAATCCGTTGAACGTGAACTGACTTATGGCCATTTCCATTTTTGCCAAAAGGTGGACGTGGCTCAAATGTAGGTCCACTGGCGTGCTCCAAAATAGGACTTTCAAACCTCTCCCATAGGAGTAACAACTGTATGCAATTTGAAACATGTGGGTCAAACGGTTCTTGAGTTATCATTGACCGTAGCCAAATGTTGACGGACGGACGGACGACATCCCATGGCAATAGCTCATCTTGATGATGTCAAGGCAAGCTAAAAATCACTGTCACGTAAGATCCCTGACACAATATTTGTGAGCCTTCTAGTGTTTAGATGAGATTCCAATATTACTGAATGCCACATATCTCATCACTGCAGATGTAAGACCCTGCTTGGCTTTATATATATATTTGAGCAAAGCCAATCGGTCTCACAGTCTGAATAACTAGGTGAGATAGTCACTTGTGTACAACAAGTCTGGACATTATTGACGACATATGGCGACTTATACAATGAACCACACACAAACATGAATATCACATAAGCTTAGAATCTTGCTAAGATCAACACAAGGTGGCAGTACACAGATATAACATGCACGTATGAACATAGGCTTGGTGTGTGCATGCGTGCGTGCGTGCGTGCGTGCGCGAGAGGACGGATTCACCGATTTCCCCCCCCCCCCGGTCATATGTCTCTAAGTTACAAACAAACACTAGGATTGATCACGGGAAGCTAGACGTCACCCAGCATTTAACATATACTCTATAAAATACTATACAGCAACACAGTAAAACTGCCAGGGCGAGTCATGGCTGTCAGTGTCTCACGTCTCTCTCACGTCCTCGTTCAGGTCTAAACCCTGTTTGTTGGCTGTCAAGATCTGCTGCAGTTTTCCCTCCACACAATGATAGGGTGACTAGATCAAGCTCTGGCATTCGGCCCTGTCCACACAATAACACGATCCTGGTTCAAGCCATGGTGCAATGATCCCTCCACACAATCACAGGATCCTGGTTCAAGCCATGGTGCAATGATCCCTCCACACAATCACAGGATCCTGGTTCAAGCCATGGTGCAATGATCCCTCCACACAATCACAGGATCCTGGTTCAAGCCATGGTGCAATGATCCCTCCACACCATCACAGGATCCTGGTTCAAGCCATGATGCTGCTGCTGCTGCAGCTGCCACCATCACACACATCGTCACGTGCGTGTTGGTGACGTACGAACATCGTCACACGTGTGTTGGTGACGTACGAACATCGTCACGTGCGTGTTGGTGACGTATAAACATCGTCACGCGTGTGTTGGTGACGTACGAACATCGTCACACGCGTGTTGGTGACGTACGAACATCGTCACCCGTGTGTTGGTGATGCACGCGTCACTGCAGCGAACAGACGCTACTGCTTGTTTTCGGTGCAGCAAAGCTGTTCTTCGTGCTTCGTCGTGAGCTCGCCGCTTTCTCGTTGTTCTTCTCACCAGATGGCGCCTCACTCGTCGCGTTGCTCTCGCTCAGCTCGGCGGTCTGCTGCAGCAGCATGAAGGGGGCGCTGATCGCAGCCACTCGCCGCCGCGTTGCTACGGGAGACAAGCAGACTCACGGTGAACCACGGGCCGGGGCGTGTGTGTGTGTGGGGGGCGGATTAGCTATACATCAAGCCTGCAACCACATACTACTCAACGCTCCCCTCCTGCTACTCCCCCTCCCTATCCCCATCCTCTATACGACCCCCTACCTCCTGCTACTCCCCCTCCCTATCCCCATCCTCTATACGACCCCCTACCTCCTGCTACTCCCCCTCCCTATCCCCATCCTCTTTCAGACCCCCTCCCTCCTGCTACTCCCCCTCCCTATCCCCATCCTCTTTCAGACCCCCTCCCTCCTGCTACCTACACAGTGCTCATCCTTCCTCCCTATTCCTCTCCTCTATCTCCTATTCTATTCCTCTCCTCTATCTCCCTATTCCTACTCTATCTCCTATTCTATTCCTCTCCTCTATCTCCCTATTC